TTTCCTCAATTGTGAGAGGAAGGAGATAGCTCTTAATTCTATACAGTTTGTTAGTTATTTTTAGTTATCTTATATTTTGCCTTCCCTGGTTCCTCGTCTCATCAACAGGCTAATTACATTTTTAAATAACACCGGTTTTCAATAAATCCCTTTTTTTAGACGCAGTGATGCCTTCAGCCCCGATACCTGGAGTGGGCTGGCTTTTGGGAAGAGTTTTGTACATATCTAGATGCTTTGCTGGTACCGTGTCTGTCGGAGTGGGCATTCCTAGACAGGATGCATTTGCATGCGGATGGCCCAAGCTAATAACCACATTTGATGCTGAGCCTCCGTGATTAAAAATAAATAAAATCCAAACAATGAAAAGGACAGGTCAGAAGCAGTAAGGCTTGAGATTTCTTGAGATATCGTCCCTCAAAAGTCCAAAGTTTTTGAACTTCTAGGTCCTCCATTCTTCCCTTCAACCTTCACGTCACTAGGGTCTCCTGGAGGAATCAGTGAAAGCTGCGGAGGACCCTGGAGATAAAACACTCCTAGAAGTGTTTTTTTTTCTGCAGACATCAGGGGATTATTTCAGTGTTCACAGGCACGGGCAGCTGGAAAGGTAAGTACTATATATATTTTTTTACAGGTATAGGTTTCCAGGGCAATTTTAATATAGCGACAGGGTCTCTTTAAAGTTCACATTTCACCACTTTCTATATGTTTGTAGAGTATTCAGTTTTCTTATTTATATGTACTCGCTTTGCTTTCCCTCGTTTAATGTTACTTTATATTCTTGTGTGCTTTTGGCCTTGCCCACCTTTTCAAATTTTACAGCATGTCATGGGTAATCTGGAGACTAAAAGCCTCTGCACAGAAGAAAATGGCTTCTGTAACCACTCAGACTTGACTTTAAGTCATGCACAGTACACCCCACATCCATCTGGAGGAGAAAACCAGTGCATACAGGTAAGTTTAAAGGCTTTTGTTAAAGCTTCCATCTGCCACACTAATGTATGCATTTAATAGGTTCTTCCCAAGAAGTGACGAAAGATTGTGTCAAAAACACACAATGTTGAAGCCCACATAAATTGTAATACCCATAGAGAGCATCTAATGCATCTCAGGGATACAGGTTAAGAACCTCTACTTAACCCCCGTGTGAAAACAGCAAATCACAACTAAGTCTACCTACAAGTAGAAAGATTTTTGCTATATTTGTGTGATCAACAAATATAATTGAGGTACAGTTGCTAACAATGTTAACTTGACCACGCCAACATATCAACTGGTGATACTGTCAAATGGGATGACATACATGTTGAGTGATCTGGTTAATAGCCTTGCCACATCAATCAATATAACAATGATAGTTAATCTAATAACTTTATTGTAATTATTCAGCGGTCCAGTGCCATAGCCCTATTATGTGGTTCCCATACTCTTAGTTAAGCACCCTTGGTCTACAGGAATAGAGCTGCAAAAGCACCACTAACCATATCATTGCTCAAACCTCAACGTGGACAATTTGTATCTATACTTTTTATTTACTAAAGGTAAAGGTAGCATACACAGACTTTTAAGCAAGCATGAAACATTCCAGAACCAACACTGAAGACCTCAAACAGGAACTCATTACTGCTTGTTAGTAAACTCTGACGCTCTGTAATAATATATGGACGACCTTAGATTTTCATATCTAGTTATCCTTTAAGTCAGAGTAGAAAATAATTTCTTGCTGTGAAAGAAAACCTCATGCAGAAAAATCTTAAACCTTCTTTTGTAATCCATTAACATTGATGAAATACTCATCTTGACTACCTTTTGTACAGGATCACCGCTGATCAGTGGTGTTCATAATGCTCAATAGTTTCAGAAAGAAACACAGTCATTTGAACATCTGCTCTTTGATAAACGGAACACACTACACTTCTCATAAATAATCCATCACAAATGGTCTTACATAAAATACGGATCCATCCTTCGTAAACAAAGTCATTTTGAAGTAAGACTTTCCTTCTAGCATATTTTACTAGTTTCTACCGAATTTACCATCCATTTACAAAAGAGTAGCAGTAAATTAGAAGCATCTGCGTGTTACGCTGTAATTGCTGAGCTATGCCTATTAAGAAAAGCACAATCTAAATAAGCAAAGGTCAGGTGATAGTCCTACCACGACAATGGATCTCGCCTGTTGCCTTCACTCCCTACTCGTTACTGTGTAAACACCTCTGTTTACTCTGCATAGACTGCGTTTTTGTAAATAGCTGCTCATTTGTTTTATACATCCCCCGGGGGTGTTGTGCTCGTTGCTTTTATCCAGAGATGGCTTTTACCTGCCACACGTTTCTTCTCTAGAAACTTTCCATGTCTGCTCTCATCTTCACACGAGCTTCTGTCGTCTGTACATTGAGACAGAAAATAATGAAACATTTCAAAGGCGTGATGACCAAGCTGGCTTAGTTCCAGTTAAACCCCGTTCTTTAAGTATATTTTTTTCCTTATACTGTTGTTATCTCAAGCTTATTGATCTTGGCTTCGACTTTCTGGTTCTCAAAAGAAAAAGCCTACTGTGAACTTTTTATCAAATAGGTTTCTTTTTCGGCCTGCTTCAGCTGCAATGATTGAGCCAAGCAGGCTTCTTAAATTATTTATGCTTTAACTAGATGAAATAAAAAAAAAGAGAGAAGAAAAAAAATGTATATAAATACCAACAGTGTCTCTCTGAATAGCAGGACATCTACAAAAAAAATGGCAACAAACTTAATTAGCTGGAATCAAAGTTGCTTTTTCCACTGCGAATAAAACAAGCATGCACTCAAAAGACCTAAATCAATGTGCCCAGCTTAATCATATAAAGGGTTTTTCATCCTAATTGCCAGGCTCTTTAGATTTTGATGAGATGGATACTGAGGAAGATAACCCAGCGAGTGTATATCATTCAGTCATTATCCCAGACTAAACTTTGATTATTAAAATGGATTCTTGGTGTATATGGCCAATGTAATTGCTTTGTCTATATTCTGCCTTGACATAATTAAAACAGATCATGTTGTGTTCATCACTGCTTTTATTTTGGCAAGCTGAAAATAAAACATGCATGCAGCAAAATCATTTTGTTCTATTATATTATAGAAAACACCTGCAGTTCCCTTGCACAATAAATAAAAAGGAAAGCATATGAGATGCTAATTGCCTTCCAATCTACAGGCACACCTAACAGATACACCTCCCATAGGTTCACCAACAGTAATAGCTTCATATATTACTCTCATCACAAAGCAGCACTAGCACTTCTTTGAGACCTACAAAAACAGCTTTGAAAGAAAGACACTATTGGTAACAATAGAAGGAGATGTGAGATAAAGTGCGGTTATAAAAGACTATATTTAAAATTATACAAGTAATATTTTAAAGTGTATGTAGGTAAAACCTTTTATATTTAAGTTTAGGAAAGAGTAGAGGTGGTTTAGACCCTCTGTATTTCTGTCTGTGTATTTCTGTCTGTGAATGGAAAGATTCACTGGTCATTTTGTCCTGGGACATCGAAAATGTTAGAGCTGTCCTCAGAAGCAAGGAAATCTTTTAATGGCTACACCTGCTTCAGGACCTCTTTCTAAAAAGTGGAATTCCCCTCACTTTGGGAGGTTTCCTTTAACTTCCTGTGGTATTTCTATAGGACAGGAAGTAAGGGGAAATAACCCCAATGGTAAACAGACAGAAACAAAAAATTACCTGGCAGGGGTAACACCCCTTCCCTTCTCTATATAAGTATAAAATCAGTTCAGATTTCAAGCTGTATAATTAATTGTTTTTTGGTACCGAAGATGGAGAGCTAGACCTCTAAAGATCTTTGAGTGATTTTAAAAGTTTGCTTGCATTTCTACCTAGATACTGTAGGCTGAACACCAAATGCCTAAATAAACTGATGAAATATATACTGTATGTGAGAGCTGTTTTACCTTCCAAAAATATATTTATTCCTGTCCATTCAATTCTCAGATTTACGCAGCTCTGCCATTCAGCACAACCCTGCCTGATGGGGGGGGGGAACCAGATCATTCTTGGCTGTAGTTTCACTTTTACCAAGAGGTCTCCTTCCCACCCATGCCCTGTGACTGTCAGTAAAAACTGATGGTCAACTTTATATCACTCTACTCTTCTCCGATCAGCATGCTTATTGCACTGCAACACACAATTGACTTATTGTGCTCTGCTGTACAGGAACTACAAAACCTGATTTCAAAATGTAAAGTACATACACCGCTTTGATTTAAAATACATTTATGGCTAACAGTTCACAGAATATAATAGCCCTGAAAAACTCACATAAAAGTGTTGATGCAGTGGTACTGATGCCAGAGAATATCTCCAAATTTACCCCCGCGGTGTCACCCGATTGTTCTAGGGGTTGTGCATCTCGTGGTACCATTGTTCATATTTGGTGAGGTTGCCGAAGGTCCAAATTTGTGGATTAGAGTATATAAACTCATTAGCTCTGTCCTCCATTGTTCCTTGGCACAAAACCCTGTGAGGCTATATTGAATGTGAATATTCTGACAAGATGTGAAGGTGTTGACTCACCACATTTTCTTAGCTACGAGGCAGACTATAGCCAGATCATGGAGGGAAGCTACTCTGAGTTTTGGAGGAGAGGTTAGGCAAAGGGTCACAGGCACCATGATTAATTAGAAGCTCACCGCCGCTGTCAACGATACTCACAAGGTATGGTCCCCCTGGGTGGAATATCTTAGACGCTCTGGTTCTGATCACACATTATTGAAGCTTTAACCTATGTGTCTCTAGCTGTGTAGGTTTTCCTCTCCTTCTTCCCCTCCCTGCTTCCGCCCTTTTTTTCTTTCAATCTTTGAATTGCTTTTTCTCTGCCTCTTCTAATTGTTTCTCTTTTTTCCTTTGGATTCTTCTTGCATTAATTGACATTAGATAATATCAATGAATTGTAGCCCAACTTTATTTGGAATGGTGTGATAACACAGTCATCTGTGTTCCAGCTCACTGCTATTTCCTTGTCAGAGTACACTACTCAGTATCCATGGTGTATGGACATGGTATCTAATTTAACCCTTTTTTCTATTTAAATTTAGCTAATGTGGATCACTTTAAACTTTCGTCTATCCTACTGGTAAACCAATTTCTAAATTCATATTATGTGTTTCTGGTGATAATCTATGCTCTACTTTGCATTGTATATGTCATTTTTCTTTATTTTCATTTACATTGTTAATGCTTGAAAATCCTAGTTAAATATTTGTAAAAAAATACATTTATGGATGTATTAATTACTACAGAACTGCATTAATTTGTGTCATTAATATCTACCTGGAATTCAGCTTTAAAGGGGTTTTCCATACCCCTTCGGTAGAGGGACGCTGATTTATATAGCTACCTGATCCGGTAAGAAGCAATGGTACTCATATTTTTTTAAATTGCAAGGTGAACTAAATCCATCTGTGGTTCTACACAATGCTCATGGAGTCAGTGAGATGCTCATACAAAGAGTATTTTATTGCTCACATTTGAGCTTTACATCCATAGCTGCAGCACATCAAGTAACACTGTTGCTGAAGCAAAGTTTAGAATGAAATCAAAAACTTAAGCCTCAAAGCTTTGCAATTCTAAATATGTACAGTATATCATTATTGGCATACACATAAAAAAACAAAAACAAAAAGCTACAAATACAATTCTAGATGTCCTGTTGCAGTTATTTAAATTTGAAATCATAGATTGTGACCCCCAACTCATTATTGTTATAGACTTTATATGTCCAAATATTTCTGATCAAAATCTAGACTTACCTTGAGGTTTTAGTTTATGGTTTTTATTATGGGTAGGTTTGACTGGTCCTTCACCCGTTGAAAGAGAGGAGCTTTGAGATTCTGAAGTGGAAATGGAGGCCAAAACGTTTTCATTTCTTGAAGTCTGAGTTGGATCCTACCATGAGAAACAAAAAATATAATAACTTAAAGCTGTAGTTGAATCTGCTTATATTTTGCCTTGCCTGGTTCCTTCTTTCCCCCTTCATCAACAAGCTAATGACTTTTTAAATAAAGCCTTTTCGTTACATACTCTTTTTTTTAGACCCAGTGGTGTAATTACAGGATCTCAGTACTTCTCTATGAAATGTAGTCATAGAAGAGCGCTACCACCTAAAAAATTGTTTAGATGCTAAGCATCCTGTAATGACTAACTGTTTAATTAAATTGGTTGATGAATAACTCACGGTATTTCTGGATGGAAAGATCTAGACGGTCAGGATCTAAATGGTCTAAGATCTGACCGTCTAGAATTTTCCATCCAGAAATACTTCGCTGACTGCACGGGACTGCAGGGAGTGCATGTCCATCCATGACATCACAACCGTGAGTTATTCATCAACCAATTTAATTAAACAGTTAGTCATTACAGGATGCTTAGCATCTAAACAATTTTTTAGGTGGTAGCGCTCTTCTATGTATAATTTTGCCAAACACGTTACACGGGGCTCCTCTCCCGGTTGTTGAAGAGCTTTTGCACACCATTTTCTATATAGTTAACAAGTGAGAAACCTGACCATATTACAGTTGTGCGCTTTCATGCATTTTTTGTTCAAACTCTCTATGAAATGTAGGCCGATTATAGCTGGTGGGAGGTGCTGTACATAGCTAACATCAGTGAAAACCAAAAAGTCAGAATAATAAGCAGCTCTAGAGATAAAAGGCAGCAGAAATTCTATACACCTTCCCTCTATATTTTGAGCTTCCCCTTTTCATTCTTGCCTTCTGGGTCAGAGAGGATGGCCATAAAGACACTTTATAATACTGATGCACCGATACCAGTATTAGTGCAGATACTGAACATTCCACAACTACATTTGCAGTAGTCTTCTATAGCCGGTGCCATTCTGCATTGCTGTATAATATATTGCTGAGATTTTTACTCTTCTGTATAGTAACCACCGCTCCCACCTCACTCCCGTGATGGACTACAATCTCAATACAAATTCGTAAATTATACATCAGATTGTAGTCCATAACGCGAGCGAGCTTGGAATGGTGGTTACTTTACAACACACACAGGGATCATGGGGAACAAAAGTAGCCACCCTCCAGAAGGAAGAACAGTGTCAGCACCAATTCAGAGATGATTTGAGAATCTACAGCCGAGTCATTTACAAATAAGCCAAACTTTTGTTAATAGTTAAGGTACTTGAATCTATTTTTAAGATTTAACTCCTGAGTTTAGTGTCACTTTAATTCATCTTCGATAAGGCAGAAATGAATAGACACAGCCTGGTGTCTTTGTGAAGCATCAGTCACAAAGAGGAATTTCCAAACAACCTTAGTAGTGACCCAGGCAATCAGAAACACCATATGCATACTTAGGGGGGGTGAAGGAGGGGTACAGAACGTTAATTAGCATCAATTGCCAATGCTTCTCTATTTGTTAAGAACCACGTGCTTATAAAAGTTCAAGGTGGAAAATCCTTTTAAATGTACAGTTGCTGCAATTTTTTTTTCCAAGTTCAATGGGCAACTCTTGCTTTTGATAAAACTGTTAAAAACCCAGACAAAAGGAAAACAAAAGAGCTGTAATTTCATAGATCCATTAAAACCATTCTTCTAAAGGAGCTTATTAGCTTGAGTTGAAAATCCACTATGGAGGATAAGTGCCACGCTCTAATGAACTTTCAGTGTCTGAAGGGAGATTCTCTAGTTTACAAAAACGAAATTGCTGTGTCTCAGTATAGAAAGTGGAGAACTGAAAGTTTTATTGTAATCTAATCCATTCAGCGTTACATTTAATCGGTCCAGTGTAGCAAAAAGTATTGTAATCTAGTAAATGTATTTGGTTAATATTTGTACTGATATTAATTAGTATATACATCTCATACACTTGTTCATATGGTTTGAAAACTTTTTCCTAAAAGAAAACAACTGTTGCTGTAATCGCTGAACATGTGTTAGCTGGAGATGGGCTGTTAGCCCCTTAGTCCCCGTTCGAAATCTAGGTGTTATGTGAACGTGTGCCAAATGCAGAAAAAAAATGCATGCTTAGGCACGAGTTCACAGAACGCGTCAAAAATGCGCAATGCACTTGCAGTGCCATTACTAGTGGCAAACCAAAAACGGGGCTGGGAAAATTTGTTAAATGAATTTTTATTCAACATTAATTTATCTACGTAGTTATCAGTTGAACTACAAGTGGGCCTAAAATAAATTTTTAGATGACTTTCACATTTGAACAAACCTGTTTTTGCATATTTTTGCTATTGTACTAAAAGATGTATAGATTTTGCAGTAGAAGGAGCTTTCTCTCTCCCTAAAGGTGACCCTGTCGCCACATGGGCACAGCGCATCACTTTTATCCCAAGTTGAGCTTGGGTAATGAATCAATGGCCAGCATCAGTGAAAATAATAAAGAAGCACTGGATACAGAACTCACCATATCTCTAACACTGACTCACCGATCCAGCACCACTTCTCTACTGGGTTACATTATGCCCAGTGTCATTCAACCCACTTTCTGCAAGACCCGGGTTTCAAGGACCCCCCTCCCACCCTGGACTTAAGTAATTACAACTCAATGTTTAGAAATAGGGGGCACCAAACCAAAACGTGAAAGAGTCCAAAAGTGCCTTTAATTATTCATAGTAGGGATATTCAGATACCAGTGTGGATACTTGGCATTTTACCAGGGTCGCAGAGGTTGCAGCTAGGGGGACCTGGCTTTGGCGCTCCACCACTGTCCTGAAATAATTAGTCTGTAGTGTTTTAGAAAAACTGTCACATGACAATAAACCAAGATTTATCAGTACTTGTTTGTGTGAGTACTTGGACAAGTATCAGTACTTGTAAAAAAAAAAGTGGTATTGGTGCATCACTTATATATATTTATTTAAAAAAATCATACATTAGAACAGGGATGCACAAATCCCAGGTGCTCCGTATGCTCCTTAAAAATGACAGCCGCCATTAAAAGACTATGGGGGGCTATTCACAAAGGAGCTGAAGGATCCAGCTGTAACTTCGGCTGATTCTTCGGCTCCCTTCGGCCATTGAAACAATTCGGTTCATTCGAACCGAAGGGCTGCTGTACTGGCTATTCATTCTAGCCCGTACAGCAGCCGAAGGCGGCCGAGTGCCTCAGCCGAGTCGAAGGCATATTCTTCGGCTTGACTGAACCGAAGTGACACCCGAAGCTGGGCGAACGGCCTGCAGAAGGGCTAGCTGTAAGCCCCACAAATTACAGCTGGGCAGAGCCAGCCGTGATCTCACGGCTGGCTCCGCCCAGTTGTAATGACAGATCAGTGTCCCCAAATGACCTGGGGACGCTGATCTGTCATTAAACAAGGACAACTGGGCAGAGCCGACTCCACCAAGTTGTTATTCATTGGCCAATAGGAAGCAGTTGGGCGGAGCTGTCACTGCTAGCTCCACCCAATTGTTTATTTTTTTATTCTTTTTTTGAAAATCTTTATTTATTTTTTTCATTTAATATTTATTTACATTTAAAAAATATTTATTCAACTTTTTGTTGGAGGAGAGGAGATTGCCTCATGGATATCAGATAGGTATCACTGATATACAGTCCTTGAAACATCACCAAGATGAATGCAACCTGACTGTTTTCAACAGGTATCCGTGTGAACTGAAATAATTACCCCTTTTAAACACATCTATGAAATTCCAAAGATATAGATTACATCCCCTTTTATATTCAGCATCGAAGAGGGTCATAGCAGTTAAAGCATACAACTACAAATGGTTTGAATTTTTATGCAAGAACAAATAGCCACTTTACACAAAGCGCATGTGCTTCATTCCAGGTTTAATGGGAATTTCATACTCATAGTAATTAAACTAACTGCCTTACACTACACAATGCTACTAAGACAAGCATCTGCTATAATGGAGTGAATTAAGCTTGCTTACTTGTAGACACATTCCCCCGCTACCCGGTAGCTTACAAAAGACACCAATACAAGGTTAATTTGCTTCGTTCCAAAGGGCATATTCCAAGGCCACTCTCCTAGTTAGGAAAAGACTCCAAGGCTAGTCTCTTACAAAGTGAAGAACACTTTAATAAGCTATTAGACGACAATGTCACTCTAAGAAATACAAATGAAAGTGAAACCATGAAATAACACAATGGAAAGATATCTCTATAAATATATTCATGTATGGATCCCAGTCTCCATTATAATTTTTACGGAATTCTTATCAACATTCTAAATATTTTCCCCTACCCCACAACTAATGGCAGTCTGTATTCATGTTACAACATGTTTTAATGAATTCCTCACAATGTGAAGACCAGGGAATTGATTAAACAAACAGAACAAATTATAAGTGTAATACTTAAATAATACTGCTTATAAAAAAAAAAAGAATAAATGGAAATTGCTGCTTACATTTATCATGTTGTTCAGCTATATTAGAAGCATACGTCTTATAGAAGGATGTCTTTGACTATTCATCTATCTGTGACATGCATGCACATGGAGCTACCACAGGCTGAGATGGTCCACTAAGCCCAATAGACTGGGTGGGACTTAAGCTGCTCTAACAACGATCCCTGAAGTGTTGAGTCAGGGGCAACTCCATGTTTATTACTACTGTATACCCATGGAAACTTACCACATTAATTGATGTGAGTGATGACTTTACATCACAGGTACACACGTCGTGATCCAAGGAATAATTTAAGTTAAGAGTGATATAAAAATAGACAAAAATCACAGATTTCATTTGCTTGAAATTTCGATGCTTCATTCAAAATACTACAGCAAATACCCCTCCTTGTTTTGGGAACTACTACAGACACACAAACATATTGAACATGGAACCAGTTTTCATTATACTTTATTAATGAAAAAAATAAAATGCGACTGGTTAACCCTCTTTTTCTTGTATCAGACTAAGAAATATATATTTTTTTTAATGTTCCATACTGCTGCATCACATGTAAGGCCAGAATTACACCATCTTAATCTCAAACATCTGTCCCTTCACTAAGGGAAGCAAAGCATGCTAATCCTGGTTGCCTTTACTGCTCTTTTTAAGAGTCAGTGGTCACATTCCTCAGAACTACTGTCATGTAAAGCGATACTTCTAATGAGTATAAAGTTCACTTATGCATCCACTAGAACATACATCCAAGATAACAGTGCACAAAATTAGGAGTGTCAATGACACCTGTCCATCCCCAATGGCCAATGTCCCTTTAGGGGTTCTTCATTGAATTATGATGTCTTTGTAAATATGTAGTAATCCATTTTGATGTAAGGGATGTAATGACTTCCATTTTTAAGTTGCATCCAAACATAAAAAACAAGTCCAATTCCTATATTTTTCAAAGTACAGAATCAAAGCAGTGCAGTATCGGCTATGACAGGATGGATCACTTAGTACTGATCGGCATTTTCAGATATGAAACATAGGTTTAAAAAAGTAAAAAAATAAATACATTTTACAGACTCAACACCACTGTTATTTCCTGTTAAATAGAGTCTTTACTGTCTTTTGATAATAGTCACCAGGACCAAATGGAGGGGAAAGTCTTCTCAAGGGGAACACAAGACAGCAATAAAAACAAAAACTAAAAATAAAGTTTTGCCATTGCATCCATTTTAATGACTTGAGCTACCCACAGCAGTGGCACCGACTTTGACAATTTAAAATATGGAAATCTGTGGATGTGCTGATAATTTACTGTGAGGGGCACAGTAAACCATGAAGCTACGAATCTTAGAATTATTTTTTACTGAGAGACCACATCACCACTGAATATCAAGTTGATACCTATACTGCTTTTTGACATGTTATGCTAGATCTCAAAGTTAGGATCTGCATATGACTTTCCTAAATGACTATCCAGGCCTGCCAACAGCCCACACAGACAATGAGCATTACCCTGCGGAAGACCAGGATGAAAATACATGCCTGTTTTTCATCCATAGGTACTGGATTTTTCTCAGGGCTACATTACGGTGTGGTTATGGGGGCAGGATCCTAAAGGTATGTCAAAGTACCAAAGAGTGCCTACAGATCAGCAGAGGGTAGGTATTTCCTGAAGATCAGTTTGCCTTAAACAACAATGATAAAAACTGTTAAATAGAACATGACATTCTGAAAAAGAAAAAAAATGAAGTCAACAAACTGCTCAAAGTAACAGAGAAAACAGAATGTTGCTTCTTATTTACAAAGCAGTTTCATTTGTTAACCTGTTCTTTGAAATGACAAAAAAACATATTCCAAGCCTTTGCTGACGCCAAAATGGTTAAACCTGGAACATTCCGCTCTACAGAAAAATCTTTAAAATACCCAACTTGTTAAAATAACTAGGCACATTGATTATCAAAACAGGCATCTCCTACCTGCTGAGTTTTCATTTCATCATTCAGTATCAATGCGCTGGCAAAACCTGCTGGAACACCGCCTTTCAAAATCCCACGTTCTTTCAAGAAAGATACATGGCCAAGCAGATGGTTTCGCAATAATGGAGAGATAGTCCTGGAAATAAAAATAGACAAACTAATAAGATCCCTATCTTGTGTATATCTGTATATTAGCAGTGTAAAATTAAAAATGAAATGCTTGTTTTATTTTTTTGTTTACATTATACATAAAATACTCATATAAAAAGCATGCTGCTGTTTTGCTACCCTATCTTTTAATTCAAGGTCGATTGCTTTTATATCTTCAGCAGTAAAGAATCTATGGACACTTTTCAAACTAATCAAAGCAAAAATAGAACGGATACATTTCAAAATTCTGATTAAGAAAAATATCAAAGTTTTGCAATAACTAAAGTTTATCCACCATATATTTTAGTTGACGTCAGCTGTTCATGAGATGAAATCACCTTTCCTTTTTTCAGAAATCTGGCATTGGGATCTCTGCAAATAACTGTCATTACCATTACTCATAGAAAGATAAGTGGGACTCTACAGAGGGATTGCTCGAGTTTGATATACCAGGGAGGAAATATTTCCTCAGGCACGCATTGGAGATAAAAAAGCCAGTGGATAGTTCAACCCATTAAGATCTGCCCATAACCAAAATAACAGTTCTGGTGGAATGACCCTTTAAATTGTAATCAGTAATACATTTGTGCATAGCAATAACCCTTTGTGAGTTACTACTAAGTCAACAGCGTGTAAAATGTCACTATAATCACAACGTGCTTCATGATCCACATGATATCAATGTGAAACCCCTCACATTGCCATTAAAGATGTTCTCGAAGTCAGCAGGGCATAATGCACATTTATAAAGCACAATGCTGTTGTAAATGTGCAATAGTTGCTTTTTTAAAGCAGTGGTAAGCCCACGGTAAAGCCATACCATGGCATTTAAATGAACCTCTATGTATTCTTAGTTAGGATTTCTAGTTTTTAAGATTACTTTTATTAAAAAGTTCTAGGCTTAAGAATAGAATCCGTGCAGAATGGTAAAGAAGAAACTTAGAGCTGCCAACAAGATAGAAAGGAGGACCCTGGAAGTTCCCAATATTCACCAGATCCCCTATGGTGGAATTAGAATTACATGACAGTCATGGAATGTTGTCCATGAGATGGCCTCAGTCATTATAATGAAAGCTAGACAGGTCAAAGGGGAGTCAGAGTTATTAGACAAATTCAGGGTCAATAATTAAGCGTCAAGTAAGTCTTATATCTAGCAATGAGGAGATAGGACAAAGGGCGAGACAGAAACCGAGTCGGAAAGTGTAGTGTCAAAAACAGAGCAAAGTATAAACGTGCATCTGGATGTAGCAAGGTGAATCCATGAGCTAATTCATTATGACAGGCAACTTAAGTGGGGAGCATATTAACCTAAAAAGTGCATGAGTACGGATGTGCTAGGCCATGCTCCGAGAGGACAGCTGAAGACATAAAGTGCAAACTGAAACTGGTAAAAGGTGTTAGAACTCTACGGAGGTGGAACAGAAGAGCACCAAGACCCAGGAAATGCACCAGTAAAAGCCCTGGGAAAAATAACTGATCCAGAAACATCTACAGAATGAGGCATCAACAACCAATTCACAGACAACTGCTTAACAGTGCCCCATGTGGCTGATCAAGATGTTGGTAACTGCTGACCACAAAGCTGGAAACACACACAGAAGGCGAGTTCATGCAATGATTCTTTCTACTGCTATGACTTCTGCCACAGATTTAATAGAGAATAACAACAAGTACCGTGTTTCCCCAAAAATAAGACAGTGTCTTATATTTTTTTGGCCTCAAAAAAACACACTAGGTCTTATTTTCTGGGTAGGTCCTTTTTTTTTGTTTTAATGTACAACAATCCACACTTTTTCATGTACAACAGTCTACATGTATTCATGTACAAAAATATGGTGATCAGGGCAATCAGGGGTGCCGTACCTTTCCAAGAGCAATTTGCTAACCAATCACTGGCCAGAATGAGCGAAGCGCACTTTGACTATCGATTCCTCACAGGCGCAGTGCATTTGGTAACACTCCGCCTGTGACAGGAGCCGGCGCTATAGAGGAGGCATCTGCTTATGCGGCTCTGCTCCCTGCGGTGCCGCCTCGCTTCCTCTAGCGCTGGCACCACTGAGTCTCTCCTGCGGCTCTTCAAGTTCCCCCTTATGCCACCACCGGCCCTGGGAATGGTCACAACTAGGTCTTATTTTTGGGGTAGGTCTTATATTTTAGCAATTCCCAAAAATAGTACTAGGTCTCATTTTCGGGGTAGGTCTTATTTTCGGGGAAACAGGGTAGTAGTTAGTCACAATCAACTGGACTAAAGATGGCCAAAACAGGAGGGTACCATCAGGAGAGACGTTGTGTGCTTTGCTATTTTTGCCTATTTTAAGTTGCTTGTCATGTAAACAAGCGCTTTCGGGGCCACGCAGGGTCCCTTCATTAGTCTTGGCATTCTGCTATCCTAAAAGGATTTTGATGTGCTGGTGACATTTCTACCTTTTGCTGATATTTGCGGCGCCATCTGCAGTCACTGCGAGCATTCTGCCATTACAAGGGACTTTCGGTAAGGAATGCAACAAGGAAAAGTATCTATTTTCTATTTTTACCTATCGCTTCCCTGACTTCTAGCTTCATGAGTGCTTTTTACTCTTATTTTTATCAAAAAATGTATACATTGTTTACTACACTAAAAAGCACTGCTTTTTCTTTGATTTCACTTCATTTCTGCTGCTGTTCGGCTATTGCCAAAAGGTATAAACCAGAAGGCTACTAGGTGCACTTAACTGTAAAAACGAGACCTCTTTGTTGGATCCCTGACTAAGACTGTGCACTTCTGTGACACTACCCTGTATAAGAACCCACAGTTAGTACTGGTGACACAAAGCATCCATTTTAATCTTTGATCGTGTGCACCAAATCCTTCTCCAGTAAAAAACGAATGTTTATGCAGTGCACCCTATTTATACTTTTGCTGTTATGCATATAATTTATTAAGTGAGGTATCTGCCAAAATGGCATAATGGGTTACTGACAGTTTAAAGTTGTGGTAAGTTATTTTTTATTTAATAATAACCCAGAAACACTGTGCATAAACACTTTTTATTACAGACAGGCAGACAATTTGATTATTCACTATGCTTTATGAAAAGATATAGAAAAAATAGTTAAATAAACGGCATATAGTAAATGGGTTTGTAGATTAAAATAAATACAAAATCTTTTGTCTCAGACTGAATAAAAAAGCCTTGCAACACTATGAATAATTGAACTGTATAACTGAGGACTATGGGGGAAAAAAAATATTTCTTTCTTTATTTAAAAACCATTGTCTTTGTAATGTATGCAATTGTATTACTCTATCATTATGACTCTCAAGCTTGATACTAATGATGTATATACAACTCTGTGGCATACAATCCTTTGTCATCTCCTGATTTGAAACCGCGCTTTATCCTCACAAGTACAAATGTAAAATTATAAACTGGATAACACATATTTCTACTATACAATGCTTGATGAAACATGGGCAAAACATAATGTTTTTTATGGACATAAAAGATGAAAGTGATAGCAAAGAGATGTATCTGTAGTAAGTGTTTGTACATCTATTAAGTTTCAGGTAAGGTTGTAACTCTTTCGCTGCCCGGCATTGCCTGCTTCTTTTGCACCAGTGCAGATGACAGTTTTTAAACATGTACTTTAAGAATTTGAATGAAGTTTGTAAAAAGACCTCCCTAGCCATATCATTTATGAAGCCCCAGGGCTTATAAAAATAAGAGCTGATACCATTGATTTTGGATATCCCATGTTCCACAAATATTTACTAAAGATGGGGACATACAGTACATGTCCGTGACCTTGATACATGTCCACCAAAACTAGAACGTTTCCTTGGTAAAAGAAGGGAGGTAATGACAGACCTGGTGGACATACGAGAATTTCTGATCTGGAATGAAGATATTAAGTGCCTTTAATTTTGCCTTCAAGATTTGGCAGATAACACCATTTGGGTTTGGGGATGGTGAACAAGTTGGAGTAAATCCCCTGAAACTGTTCTGCCACAAGAACTGGAGCAATGACACCTTGATTCAGAAGACCTGAGAGGGCTTGATGGAGGTCTGCTCATCTGTGTGGTGATGCGGGCACCCAGGCACCTGAGACACAAGCAGTCCTAGTATCCACACAGGTTAACAAATATCCCCCCACTCTGAAATATTGGGGTGCACTTTTATGCCAAGGAAGGTTCTGTGAAGATGTGGTGGACTTTGAGCCCCAGACCTTGCAGGTGAACTAGGAGCCAAACCTGGGGGATCTGGACATGGATGGTGCATAGTTTAGGAAAGGTGCATTTCTTAACTGATTGAGAGGGAGAAGATTTTGTAATTCATTCCTTAGGCACCAGCAGCACCCTTGATAATGGCATCAAAGAGACATTGTCCATTGAAGGGGCACAAATAATACATTTCTTTTAACTAATTGTTTTCCTTACAAAACTTTTACTTAAAGCTGGAGTTCAACTTCCAATGTTGCAGATGCCTAATATCCCTAAATATATAACATTTCCAGAGGGATGCCCAATGGCTTAGTTTTTTTTTAAATTTGCTAGTATGATTATGAATATATTATTTAGATATTAAATGTTCTACTGCAGTTGCTAAGTTAGAATTAGTTTTTCCCTGTCCTGGGAAATCTCAAAGTGGTCAACTCTCTGGGCAACACTTTGCACAGTGAGGATATTATAACCATCTGTCAACACAGTCTTCTGTACAGAAGGCAAGTATTGAGAAATTGAATCTTCCACTGAAAACGGATGCCAAGCTAGTGTGAAATAAAAAGCCAGCAAAGACCATAATGTGCACAGCAGTCAGATTAACAGGCCTGTATCTTTATTGCACAGGGCTTGCTCTGACCCGTAGCCATGCAGACTGTATTGTCCGACACTTCAGATGTCCCTATTGGAGGATTTTCTCTCCTCTGTTTGATGACAGCTGTCAATGCGGAAATTGCCCTGGTTTTCTGTGATGGTGACTTTAAGGTTTGGCTGGAGTTTTACTTTAT